CGTGGTGGTTTTTTTTGGTTACTGCAATGCATGCTCTGTCCAACAACAATTATTATGCCACAATCATGCATGCGCATTTGGACCAATGTCTCACAGTACCCGTGCTGACTTGGTGAGTTACGCCAGGTCAACAGGGCCACATATTCATCAAACCTGTTTGAAATATCCTTATGTGTACAAATCCTCATCTTCTACTTTACCACAAATTCTATTCAAACAATTCATGCAAGAGATCCTTCCTACCTATCGGGATTGAGTGAGTGAGTTTAGTTTTACGCCGCACTCAGCAATATTCCAGCTATATGGCGGCGGTCTGTAAAGAATCGAGTCTGAACCAGACAATCCAGTAATCAACAGCATGTGCATCGATCTGAGCGATGGGAAACCGATGACATGTGTCAACCAAGTCAGCGAGCCTGACCACCCGATCCCGTTAGTCGCCTCTTACGACAAGCATGGGTTACTGAAGATCAATATTCTAACCCGGACCTTCACGGGTCCTACCTATCGGGAGAGGTTCTTGTCAACATGGACAAAAATCGGCCACTCTGTTATCCAACAAGGCTTACTTTCTTTTCCTTAATGATGTCATTTCTAAATAATATTTGTAACCTTAACACATCAACCAAAAGACATGAAATATTCAGAAAACTGAAAATGTCACAGAGAACAGGAAAGAGTGAATGAGTTTTACGCCACTTTTAGCAATATTCCAGCAATATCATCGCGGGGAACACCAGAAATGGGCTTCACACATAGTACCCCTGTGGGGAATTGAACCCAGATTTTTGGCGTGACGAGCGGACGCTTTAACCACTAGGCTACCCCACCGCCCCAGAACAGGAAAGAAAACCCAATACAAACTACATATAAGTGCTGGAACAATTGATTGACTAATTGATCAGTCAATAGGTCCCGTATGTGTCAGTGATTATTTATGAGTTCAGGAGATTAATCAATATTCATAAACTACTGATGCAGTTTCCTGACTTGTAAAACTGTGTATTGTAAACAACAAACTCATGTGCGTGTCTCAACAGGAAGTGTCCTTGATTGTCTTGATCGTAGTATTAATCAGTGCCTGTTTTGTCTGCACAATGTTATGATTTTGTGTCCCTCTTTTGGCCCCACAGGTTTTGTGGTAGGGTTTACAATTACAATCGATTACTGAGCTCCGATTATTCATCTGCATATTGTGAGTGATAACCAGTTCTAATATACAATATGCGTGCAGCTTTGATAAATATACTCACTAAACTCCATTTCTGTGTTATGATGCAACTTACTGAATGAAAATATATTTTTATTATGTGTATATTAACTCCCTTTTATGATTCATAAATTGTATTGAAAGCGAAACATAATAAAAATAGAAGTGCTTTCATAAACTGATGCTTGCTAAAAAATGAGTCAACTCTGTCGGCTATGTTTAGCACACAAACTCTCAACAGCGCTGGGCTTAGTCAATGACAATGTGTATAGAGATGACAGAACACTGAGAGGAGCTTAGGTACACTCTATAAGTCTGCAAGAGTCTGACGTCACAGAGCACTGTTAGGAAATTAAGTTTCTCAAAACACCATTAGGTATTGTGATGTAATTTGTAAAGTTTGTGTTGGTGAATTCTAAAGGTAGGCTGAATTTGACTGATCCTGAAAGATTCATATGAAAAGGTTTGATTCCTGTCTTAAAAGTTAAAACACACTAACATTAATAACTCTCTTCTGCATCTCTTCAAGAAATTATCAGTACTGAAAACCAGTTATTTTAACAAATTCATGAAATTCTGTTTCCCACATCTACAGACCCGTGCCAAAAGCATTGGTCACTTTCTATGATGCTGTCTCAAGGAAATAAATGTGCTCACTTCCGTTAATGACTGTGCATTGTCATATCATTGTCATTCATGGCTGACAGATTCTGTTACCGCTTCCAGCACGTGACTATCACGTGATTGCCTTTTTATTGTCTTCTGCTTCTTCGTTTCTGGTCTGTATGTCGTCTGTAAACATGGGTCACAAATCGTGTGAAGTCGACTATGCCAACAAACAAGTGATCGTACGGCTTCATGAAGATGGCAAAAACAATTCTGAAATATCTCTTTGGTGGACACACCAAGGACTACAATTGGAGATATCAAGCAACTGGCGGCGTTGTGAACGAGCCGCAGAAAGGACGATCTAAAGTCATGTCAAGTGGAGACAAGGCAGCACTTTTTTGGATCGTGCAAAACAATCGCAGGTCAAGTTTAGGTGAAATAACTGATGAACTTAATAACAACAATAATCATCCTGTGTCGAGACTGTCTGTGCAAAGAATTCTTCACACGGAAGGTTATCACCAGCAGATTATTAAGAAGAAAATGGTTGTTCGGGAGGTGAACCGAAAAAAAAAGCCTCGCATGGTGTAAGGAACAGAGACACTGGAATGTTGATGCCAACTGGAGTTCAGTGATTTTCTCTGATGAAAGTCAAATAGTGATTGGCAAGAATAATCGTGTCTTTATATGGAGGAAAGCCGACGAAGTAAACCGACCCGAGATTGTGTGTCCAATGAGTGAGCGGAAGGTGTCTTTGATGGTGTGGGGCTGTGTGTGTATTCATGGTGTTTGTACTTTGGTACCTGTGGAAGGATATATAAATGCTGAAACGTATATTGACATAGTGGAACTGGAAGATAATTTGTGGCCTGTAATAGCACGGCATTTGGAGATGAACAATATTTGTTCCAGGATGACAATGCCCCAGTTCATCGAGCTCATATTGTTGCTGATTATAAAGAACAAAATGACATTAATTGTCTCACATGGCCAACACAATTTCTGGATTTGAATTATCGAAAACATTTGGCTCAAACTCAAAATTGCCATAAAAAGCAGAGCTGGCGACATAAGGACACAAGAGGACCTTTTTGGCGTAATTCACAGTGTGGCAAAATCTGCCGAAAAATGTCATCGAAGGATTGCATGCGTCAATTCCCCAATGGATGAAAGCTGTGATGTCAATGAAGGGACATCTGACCAAATATTAAGGTAGGTTGATATCCCATTTTTATTTTATAGCAATTTTCATGAATAAATGTGTTGTGCGAACCGATGATGTCAGCATCAAAGTGACGAGTACTTTTGGCACTGCTCTGTACTTTGTGCCATGGAACTGCAATGTTTTAACAACAATCACTTTCTAATAGCCTTGAAAATGTGAGTCAGACAAATTAAGAACTTGGCATCCCATAACTTACTTTCTTGAAGTTGTAAAAATGTGACTTCTTTAAGCGGCATTTAGATGCTGGTTTGATGAAGAGAACAAATTTTGGCCTACCTTTAGAATATAGCACCACAAACTTAAAAATATGTCATAATACCCTTTTTACGTAATTATATGTGATTTAGTTCGAAACCTAATAATACGCCCATATTTATTTGTATTACGGGGTGCTGTGGTGTTATATTTTGTGTATTTTGTATTTTTGAAATTTAGTAAGAATGCGTTACACCGGACACATTCTGCCATATCCTATTATTAGCAATTTTGGTCAATTTAATTATTTATATTATGGATAAATATATTTTATATTTCGGTTTCAACGTAACTATTAGGTCTAAATGATTTACAAATGTGAACTGACAAACATATAAAAATATTTCATTCAGTAATTTGCACCAATACATAGAAACTGTTATTTATTAGTATTTATTTTTCGAAGCGGTAAGAATGGGTTAGACTGGACACATCAGTAATGTTCGTGCCGGTTCGGTCAATCTATTCTATTTATTAAGATTATTTCAAGGAGTTAGGGTTAGGGTTAGGGCTTAGGGACCTAATCCAATATAGTAGGTACCTGTCTAGTGTAATACGTGAGTACCATATGCTGTTTTTCCTTTTGCAATTTAATACTTTTTTCAAACAAAAACCAAAAACGTCGAAAGTACACTATGAAATGGTTTGATGTAGAAATTTTGTGCTAATGGAAATTGGCCTGGAATTTGCACTCACGCCTCTTTCGCACGCAACATTTGTTCAGTAATGATTCGAAGGCTAACTCACCCTTGTGCCGTCACTAGACACGCTCACTTTTCCTTCGTTCCTTAGTGCGATCCACATTATCCTTACAGTGTTCCCTACATCACTTTTCTGTCACAAAAATCACCCTATTTTTATAAAAGCGCGTCATTCATGCATACACCGTGAAATCGACGGCTGACGCCTGACGTCAACAACCCTTTTCAGTTTTCGCCATATCGGCTCATTCCACGCCACACGGTATCTTTTAGATTACGGAATTGGACGAGTGGGCATCGGGTCCATTCGGCAATTGTCCATAGATTAAAATCATGAGACACCAAGTCTACCCATAACCTTCGTAATTGTCTGTGACCTATTCGACTCTTTCCGTTCATTTCCGTGATGTCACAGGAATGAGTCGATAAATTAGCACATTGTGCAACAGTGTGGACGTAGCTCAGTCGGTTAGCTGTTGAGGTAACAATCCGAAGGTCGCGGGTTCGCGTCTGACGGGTTCTCACAAACTGGTTGCTTGTCTTAATGACACGTGACCCACGGCAGAGATCATCCTCACAAGAAGTTGTGGTGCTGTATTCTAAAGGTGCTCCCAAATTTTATGTATTGACAACTTTTTATTGCAATAGATTGCAAGAGAATTTAAGTTGTCAATCGATAAAATGTATTCTTCATAAAAATGTGAGCCAGACAAATAGGATAGAATCCTGGGATTACCACTTGGCGACCCCACCTGAGAAGATACTAATTCTTACCAGCTCCTTACTAAAAATACGATACCATCATTGGTATAACTTGTTCTCAATGACATGATTTCACCATTAATTTTGTCATCAAGCTGTCATGATGAGCTTGATCAACCATGCTGTTCATTGGTCTTCGAAACAGTCCACTATGAAATTTCATGGTGAATGTCAAGTATTCGCTGACAAATAACTAGCCATAACTACTAAAAGCCAAACGTTCATATTGATGATTTACCTCAAACTTAGTCCCACGAAACCAGGAATGTGCTTCAGTCGGGGAGTCGTGAAGGGATTGCATTTCGGTGGATTTGGACGATCTAGTGGTACACGCCATCCAAAATCTGGCACACCATCAATATGTTCTTGAGGCGTAGTTGGACTCTTATCTGGGCCCACAAACGACATTGAAAGCTGCTCTCTTTAAAACTTAAAAATATGCACACTAATGACGCCACTTTTATTGCAGCTTTGTTGACGTTACAAGCCTCCCAGTTCACGGCCGGTTTCAAGGAACTATTTTCTGTGCAACAATCGATTAGATATGTAAACATGCTTAGTTCTTTTCCTGTTTAGAGCGCTATTCTCGCGTATAATTGACATATACATACACATTAGTTCGTTAGAAACTTTCAGATATTAAGGATGGGATTATTACAGCATCAGCATTACATATATTTATCACCAACAAATAATATGTAATTAGTTTTTTAACAAAATGTTTTCAAAATGTATCGTAAATGAAACTATGTCGTAAAATGACGCACAACGATACTAATGATTTTTTCCTCCCATGCATCATATATGTCTTATGGATGAACAAAATACGAAGGATGTCCACAATCCTATGAAATATCTACCTTAAATGTTTCAAACCCCAAATGTAATCAACAAACCATGTTACGACACCTAGAAGTGGTGACGTTTAGCACAGAACACAGGCAGACAGCTTCTGTCGTAGGAAATTCTCGGAAAACTTTGACAGATGTGCAAGTGAATATTCGACAAAAGGTTGTTCACTGCATTTCTATATCTCATAACATTTTATTTTGTAATATCTTCAGAGGCGTTATTCTGATTATCACTCGACTGTGACAGAGGAATGATGAATTCTACATCAAAGTTCCAACCTCGGTTCCGCTTGCAGGCAGTCCATGCAAAAACAATTCACTTGTCTAAAACAAGAAATTGTACTGCTCAGACGACTTGTACTGTCCAACACCTTCTTGTGATTACTGCTCAGTAACTAGTTGCTTGTCCAGTACTGTTAGTATTGAGACTTTGCCTCTGCATTCATGTTGAATGTTCTCCACACACCCCTGCCCTTCCTAATGTGTCTAATTCCTTTACTTAGAGTTCCCTCCCCCAATCTTTAGCTTGACAAAATATTAGTTGCACGAGAAGTCATATTGTGACTCATGAATGCGATATTTTTTACATTCAAAGCAATGTTTTTTTACATTGAAACATTTAGGACCCTGCTGTACTGTCATTTCATCAAATGTGTGTAATCCATGTCATAATCTGTAATTAACAAGTTACAGTATTGACTGTTAATTATTATATAACACTTCCTAAACTTTGTGAGCAGTTAATGTTGCATTATATAACTTAATGCTGTAATGATCTACTCGTTCCAACTGGAATTATTAAAGGGGTACTGATCTAGAGCATTTACCTGGGACTGGTTCTTATAACCATGATAACCCTAGCATCAAATGTGTGTTTTAATATTGTGTGTTTTTAGGTCAACTGAAATGACATTATTACACGGCACAAAAGACAGAAATCTGATCCAAATCAATCTCAGTCATCATACCGCCCATGCCTCAGTGATCTGAAAATGTTTCCACCGATAGGATACTTTTGTAAAGTCAGACTGGAACCATCAGGGATGTTTCCAAGAAACAGCATCTGATGGCCATCCAACATCCTTTTTGTATGATTGTTTATGTCAAAGAAACTGAATAACATGCACAGACAATGCTTCTCTCAATGTTATTATTGATGATCCCACCCAGGCTGCTTTTATGCTTAATAGGGACATATCTTAAAGCTCATTTTGGGCATGGGGCGGTGGGGTAGCCTAGTGGTTAAAGCGTCTGCTCGTCACGCCGAAGACCCGGGTTCGATTCCCCACATGGGCACAATGTGTTAAGCCCATTTCTGGTGTCCCCCGCCGTGATATTGCTGGAATATTGCTAAAAGCAGCGTAAAACTAAACTCAGTCAGTCAGTCAGTCATTTTGGGCCAAAAAAGGGCAAGTATTTTCAATCCTAATAAGACTAAAGTTTATTAGTTACAAGTCCACAAGCTCCCAGAAAAATTTATACTTGATGCATTGAGAACAATATGTGGAGCAGTGAGCTGAACAAGGCAAAATACAATATGTGCAGAAACAAACTTCCAACCCCTAAGTAAAAGACAATACTATCCAAAAAGAACTTTGTTTTTTTAAATGACTAATAATTTAATGCCTGATTTCCTTGAGAGATCTTATTCCATCTACAGTGGCCAAATCCAATCAGTGTTAACCTTAGAAACTAATCGAGTATCCAAACTATACATTGCAGTATGAAACCATTATGAAAAATCCTTTTCACCTCCTCAAGCTATGGAACAAACATCCCAACGAATATGCTTGCTCTGACTTGTTATTCAGCGAACAATCAAGAAGTAAAACGAAACCTTGCATGTGTTTCGACTTAAATTATAAACGTCGTTTTACAGTAGATTGCGTTCTTTCTGGCAACAAATATATTGCAAGGAAAACAAATCTAAACGACCTACATTTTATCCACTGCTTCATTTCATTATCTGCCCCTACAGATAATAGGTTCAATACTCATGCTGGGTTGGAGTCATTGATCAGTGCCCCTTTTAGCTGACCCGTGAAGGTCCAGGTTAGAATTGATCTTCAGTAACCCATGCTTGTCATAAGAGGTGACTACTGGGATTGGGAGGCCAGGCTCGCTGGCTTGGTTGACACATGTCATCGTATCCCAATTGCTCAGATCGATGCTCATGCTGTTGATTACTGGGTTGTCTGGTCCAGACTCAATTATATACATACCTCCGCAGGAATATTGCAGAGTGTGACGTAAAACTAAACTCACTCACTTTCCCTTTAAGCTGAATCTTAAGTGGCAGCAAACATGTCAGACTTTGAGAAATTTACAAATGTTTGGTTTTCAAATGAGTACTGTTCATTATGTAATTCAGATAAAACTGAATGGCCTGATATTTTTCATACTTTTATAAGTCCGTGATAATTTTCAGATAGACATGTTTTGTAAGTTCAGTGATGGGATCTACTATGTTGAACTTGAATTTTTGCATTGTTTTCAGTGTATTATATATTTAGTAGACTGTACATTGACTAGTCATGTTGGAAATGTGATTGTGAAATATGACTGGGGGGTCAGTAATATCTTGTCTGCAAAGACAGTGAAGTGTGGTGTCATTATCATGAATATTCATAACATGTCACAATATATTCTGATAGTGATAGTATGAAAACATGAAAAATCTATTACATGTATATGAAAGCTATTGGTAGGATATTTTATTCTGCAAAGGAGCCAGTGTATTACCAGTTTTTCGTTCGCTCACATTTTAGATTATGAAATGAAGTTAGGTTCTTTTCCTCACGAATCTAAATCCTTTTGCAGAATGATTGAGGTGAGCGCAAGTCTCCCAAGAGGTCCTGTGTTTTTAGCAGGGGAGACAATTCAATGTGATATCCACTTCACAAATATTGGATCAAGATCAGAGAATGAACCGTGAGTTAATTTTTCAAGAAATGTCACTTCACATAACAAAGCTGTCCCAATAAAATATCAACTTCATGCTCATGGACATCCATTGGTGTGCAGTGCTGCTTTGTGAAGCTACTCAAGCTATGAACAACTCAGGTCTTTCATAGTGCTATAGTCATGCCATCACAGAGTATCTGTAGTAATATGGAAGAATCAGGGGCTTCTAAACTCCTTTTGAGTAGCATAAACAAATAGGACTCCTGAAGCCTTTCTATAATTTCTTGGCCTATGCCACCTTTCTTAAGGCCTATTTTATATGTTTGTGGTCTTATACAATCAAAAATAGAAAAGGAAAAGAAATTTTATTTTGAAATATCAGTGGGTCACTTCCTACACTTACTATTGGCATCCAAACCCTACAATGACCTGCACTCAGTCTGGTAGAACACCATTGGGACGAGATTCAAAGAAGACTGCATGACCTCCAACCAAGGACTACAATTGCGGCTAAACTCGATCAGGCATTTTGCAGAGTATGGAGCCAAGTGCCTATTGAGTATGGCCATCATCAACCAGCTACTAGTAATTCATTCCATGTACAGACGGGGGCGGTGGGGTAGCGTTGGCTCGTCACGCCAAAGACCCGCGTTCGAATCCCCACATGAGCACAATGCGTGAAGCCCATTTCTGGTGTCCCCCGCCGCGATGTTGCTGGAATATTGCTAAAAGCCGCGTAAAACCAAACTCAGTCAGTCAGCCATGTACAGACGATGCCCACACACGATACTGACTTTCTGGTAACTTAATGGTACCATTTTTGGTGATTTCGTTTGTTTGAACTCAAAATGTGATTCCCGAAAATATGTTAACCATAATTGTCAAGATTAAACTCAATCCTCCATTTTGATTGTTAATTAGAGCGAATTAAAGTGTGTGCTTTAAGAAACCTCTATTGGTGAGGTTTCTTTTGTGGTTCAGTATATTTTCATTCATGTAATGTGTCCTACATACATATGATGTTCCCCACATGGGTACAATGTGTGAAGCCCATTTCTGGTGTCCCCCGCCGTGATGTTGCTGGAATATTGCTAAAAGCGGCGTAAAACCAAAACTCAGTCAGTCAGACATATGATGTTGTCGCAGCATCCTTATGAAGACAAGGATGATGAGAACTGTTGACAAGCTACTGTATGTTTCAGTGATGTGAGCAGCCTGGCGTGGGCAAGTGTACAGATAATTTGTCAGTGTACAGTGAGTGAGTCGCGGGTCATCCTTCCCCGAGCACAGAACCTGTCCACTGAGGATGCTTCAACCACAGGATGTGATACGTCATTTGTGCCAACCAAAGGTCAGCTTGTATTTGCATTCAGACAAACACAAAAATACTTGTGTTTCAGGTAACATGGACCCAACAGATATGGGTCAGATGATAATGTTAGGGTATTGCATTTATTGTTTTCTGTAGTTTTTAATACAAAGGGCCTGTTTAGAACGGATGCTAGATGCAGTATTTTCAGATTTGTTGGTCGGTTTAGCTACTGTAACAATAATATATGGAGACATTTGTTCCAGTTGTTACTTCCAGATTTCTTGATGGATGTTTTGAGCTGTGAATGATTAATGGAGGTTGTAAGTGATACAATGTGTTTGTCAGGTTACCTGAAACACAAGTATTCTCCATTCTTTTGCCTCAGCAATGACCATTTTACAATATACATATGCATATTTTTATGTTTGGTTAATTTTCTATGCAGGTTTCAGTAGAAATTGTAAACTGATCTCTAAACAGAACTGCATCGTAAAGTGTTTAAATGGAAAAATCCTTTGGTCATGCTAGTGAACTTAATTAACATTTGTTATGAATGTGTCATGTATGTGAGATCACTATTCTTGTTTCCATGGTGACAGGAGAACGAGGCCTCACAGTTTTATCAACAAAACCCAAGATTCTCTTTTGTGATCTTAGACTGCCCCGAGGAGACTCCAGGTCATGTGAGTAAAGCTTCCTGTGTAGAGATGTTTTAACATTGCCTTCAATAAAATACCGTAGTGTAGAATAATGTGAGCACTTTACTCTGGTTTGTTTCTAGGGAAGTACAATCTGGCCGCAAGCCAACAACAGTTTGGATTGTGATTTCTTTGAATGGCATTTTTGGAGTTGGGAAGTACACATTAACTAAAGTTCTTTATCTTCTTTTGAGCAGTATATTTATTTGACAGTTTGTCTATCTTTTTGTAATCTTTTATTATATGTAATGCGAGGGAATATAGTCGACGCCTCATCTGTCCGTCAGCCGTCTGTCCCTAATCATTTTGTTTCCAGAGCATAACTCGAAAACCATTCAATATCTTTCAACAAAACTTGACAGATATATCAAACAGAACCTAAAGTGGTACCTTTTGATATTTACAGCTTTTTGTCATTTTCTTTTCTCGGTTTTCATGGAAACGTTTTGGACTTAGTCTCCAAACTGAGGGATGGTCTTTGTGTAGCACAGCTCGAAAATATCTTTTTACAAGACTTGGCAGATATATCAAACTGATCTTGAAGTGGTGCCTTTTGCTATTTGCAGATTTTTGGCATTCAAACTTTGCATTATTTCTGTGGAAACAATTTGGACTTAATCCCCAAAAATCAAGTTGGACTTTATGTAACTGTCAGGTGATTTGTTCTTTCAAATTTGTGGGGGCTGGGGGGATTTGCTATCTTCTGATGACTTGTCTATAGTGTCAGTGACACTTACATACTGAGAGTGAGTGAGTGAGTATGATTTTACGCAGCTTTTAGCAATATTCTGGCAATATCATGGCAGGGGGACACCATTGTACCCATGTGGCTAATCGAACCCAGGTCTTCAGCGTGATGAGCAGACGCTTTAACCATCAGGCTTCCCCACCACCCCACATACACTGAGACTGTTGTGGTAAATACTATTGATATTTCAGTGGTAGTTCATTGTTCAATTTCAGTCACATTCCAAGATGCCATTCCCACAGATGCACCACCATCGTTCCGCGGGCAGGCGGTTAAATACTCATACAAAGTGATTATTGGCACACAGCGTCTGGAGAATGTGACCAAGATGTTGAGAATCCCCTTCAGAGTGATGGTCATGTATGGTGAGTAGGGTTACAACAAGGCATGAAACATCATGTCATGCAATACTTGGACGCATTCCAACTTCATTTCTTAGTTTTTGTAAATTTTTCTTTTTCAAATACATATATTTTTGTTTGTGACATTAATAATATGCTAGCATTATAACAAACATACTCACATTGACTTATACCGAAATGGATAATCTTTTTTTCCAAATTAGCAAAACCGCCACTAGTGACACTAATTTGTGGCTTTTATAGTGAAGTAAATATATTTTTGCTCACAATTTTTGTGTTCTTGATATTTCTGCTTTGGACATATATTCTCTTGTATCTGACCGCCTCCGTGGTGTAGTGGTTAGAGCGTCCGCCCGGAGAGCTGAAGATCGCGGGTTTGATCCCCGACCGCGTCATACCAAAAGACGTTAAAATATGGTACTTGTTGGTCCCTGCCTGGCGTTTGGCATTAATGGGTACAACAAGGACTGGTCGGCTCGGAGTCAGTATAATGTGTCTGAGTGGGGTATTCATGCTTCACTGCGGCATGGTATCTCAGTGGGCTAGCACTATAAAACCAGCTTACGTCTGGGCTAGTACAAGCAGCCACACATATACATAGGCATGCATGTCGTCATATGAGCGAAATATTCTCAAGCACGACGTTAAACCCACTTTCACCTCACCTCACTTGTATCTATCAAACACACATCGTCTTATCATCCTGGTTTTAGTGCAGACTTGAATAGGCAAGGCGAAGTAGTTTACTGACTGTGTAATTTCAGTTTCCACCCTTGCTAAACCGGGCTGGAGTTTTGTTGCTTGATCATAGTGCTACCAGTGCCTTCATGTCATGTCCCTTTCATGTTGGTTTGTAGGATGATCCTGAATGTAGTGTTGGGGGTGAATATAGCTTTGTATTGCAGGTTTAAATGACATCAGTGTGTATAATGAGTCCGAGGAGTATGCACCAAGTAACCCATTCCTCAACAACCAACAGAAGGAGAACTCTGTGCTGGACATTGCACTGCAGGTCCTTTCAACCATCACAGCCAGGAAAGCTCCACGTATGTAGCAGTGCATGTCACCGTAGTGGAAGGAGTGTCAGACTCCCTCCTGTAGTATGTCTGCATGGAGGACACATACGTCCTAGAGATGTACACTCTTTGTAGGTCCAGACTGTCCCCACTGTCAATTGCTAACAACTTTACTGCAGTGTTAAAACAAACCTAAATGTAATTCAGAACCTCATGTTACAAGTTAAGAATTAAGATGTGCCCCTTGATTTAGGCACTGCCCTGTGGTGTAGTGGTTAGAGTGTCCGCCCGGAGAGTGGAAGGTCACGGGTTCAATCCCCGACCGCGTCATACCAAAAGACATTAAAATATGGTACTTGTTGGTCCCTGCCTAGCGCTCGGCATTAATGGGTACAACAAGGACTGGTTCGGCTTGGAGTCAGTATAATGTGTCTGAGTGGGGTATTCATGCTTCACTGCGGCATGGTATCTCAGTGGGCTAGCACTATAAAACCAGCGTAAGTCTGGGCTAGTACAAGCAGCCGCACATACACATACACAGGCATGCACGTCGTCATATGAGCGAAAAATTCTCCAGTACGACGTTAAAACCAATTTCACCTCACCTCACCCTTGATTTAAAAACACATGACTGTAGAAACAAATGTCCAGAATAAGTACAGTTTTCATAAACATGAAATTCTCCAGACAACATACCCAAATACATGATATTGTTCAGTGAAATAATGGAACACAGTTCCTGCCCTTTCTGTTATTATTAGCCAATCAGAAAGTAGTAGGCCCAGTTTATTAATGGTCATCACCTAACTGGTTTCAGTTCAGTAAAATATATCTAACAAACACACTCACTGTGGACTGATGGTTGTAATGAACAGTTTGTTTTGTCCTGATCAATTGCTTCATATTTGAGTTGAAATGCACCACGTAACAAAGTGAAATTAGTGGTCTCTTTCAGTTCATTAAAACCATTGTTATGTTCTGAAAGTGAGTGGTAAAACTCTGACATCTGGGTTGTGATTTTTTGTTTGTTTTTCACTTTCGTACATGTTATACAGCTTTCAAACTTCTGTGTAGTCAAACATGGATGTGTAATCATGTACCGATGAACAACTATTGCATGTACAACTTGTACCAAAGTACATGTATTGCCATCACCACATTGTCAGTTGGAATTGACAAATGTAATCAGTTGTCCCCTCGTCCTTGTCTTCCAGATTCCTACAACATTACCAATGCGAGGGGGCGTGTGGCCAAGTTTCTGTTGTTCAAGCAGGCCTACAAACTTGGGGAGGACATTATGGGGATATTTGACTTCTCAGATGGGACAGTTCCCTGTGTGCAGGTGAGCTGAGAACTTGCCACTTGCTGTGATCAACTGTCGATAATTGTTGTAATGTTCGATAACTCTTGTATTGTAAGAGCCCAACTTGAATTTCAACTCTCCAGTTTATTCATCCCAGCTAATTCTGATGTGCTATAGCCCTTTTTTGGCAGGTTGATAATCATTGTAAGCACACAAACACAAGCTTTACACTGAGGTTGGTCAATTTGATATTTAGTGGGAGGGTGGCCCACTCAATTAGTACTACCCTCTATTGGCAGTATTGACTTGAACACTTTCCCGGGACACATCAGGCTTTGAAAGTCATTATTGCCCTTGGGGCAGCTAATCTATACAGGAGTATGTAGTGAAAAATATGATTGCAAATTGTAATCAATCTGGTTTATAATATTAAATTTTATGCCTCAGTTGTGAATATTTGTAGTCACTATGGCTTTACTTTGTATTGAACAGGGATATCACTTTGAAATACTGGATGCTTTAGGTAATGAGAACCACATAGCTTTCAGTCCTGTGATTGGTTGTGTAACCAATGGTTGATCTCTTCTTGTAGTACTCCGTGACACTTCAGAGTGAGGAACAGATTGCAGAGGAGTGTCGACGGAAACCTAGCCAGGGGACAGCCATTACATCATACGTTAAGCACCAGGAGATGTGTCTACACACGCTGAGAACAAATATCTCAATCCCACTTCCTCTCACAGCATCACCAGGGTTCATTACAGATATAGGTGAGATGGTGTGAAATCAGGCACAGATTACAGTATTGCAGCAGCCTGCTCTTAGAAAATATTGGTACTCCAGGGACTGAAATACAGCAACTTGTTGTTTTATAATAATAACCTTGTGTTATTCACACAGTAACAACTTTGTGCTATTCACACAGTAATAACTTTCTTATTCACACAGTAATAACTGTGTTACTTATGTTATAAGACTTTCGTTTTATTCAAATGTTTAATCACTTTTTGTTTTCCGATGTTCAAATTGTAGTAAATATGCTGCAATAAACACTTAACCTTTTGTAAAGACATCTGATCCATGATGGGTCTGTTTGACAGTGTGTCTGCGATGGAGATTACACTTTGAGTTTGTGACATCGTGTGATCCGGTGGAGGAGGTGGAGACGTCGAAGACTGATGAAGGCAGCATGTGGCGAGGTCCCCCCACCATGAACGTTGAAACAATGGTGTGGGACATGCCGATCAAAGTGTTCCCAACCAACCCACTCCATGCATCAAGTGTCACGCTGATGAAAACAAGCTCAACGATACGAGTGTGATCATAACATTTCGCTTGAACAGACAATTGCAATTACAAGTCATCTGGTGTGATTATTACAGCTTTTGGAGAATTGTGTGATTGTCCCTGCAACAAGCATATGGTGATGGGTATTCACAGGATGCAGGGGTGACACTGAAGGAGAAGCACATTGAACAGGACACCCAGTAAGCTGGAGTCTCATGTATCTGAGCTGGTTGTTCTGGGGTATATTTTGTTGGGGTAGCCTAGTGGGCAAAGCGTTTGCTAGTCATGCTGAAGACCCAGGCTCGATTCTCCACATGGGTTCAATATGTAAAGCCCATTTCTGGTGTCCCTGATATGATATTGCTGGGATATTGGTAAAAGCAGGGTAAAACTATACTCACTCACTCCATCTCAATTTGGTGACTCATATGAGCGAAATATTCTCAAGCACGACGTTAAACCCAATTTCACCTCACCTCACCTTGGTGACTCAGCTGGCTAGCGTGTTGATCTGTGTTGATATTTGACAGTAATTTACACATATCTTTGGAATTTGAGCTTGAAGTGAACTCAGGCAATGGTGTTTGTAAAGATCTCTTTTGCTTTTTTGTTTATTACAATAATAAAAGTTACAGAAAGTAGGCAACACAACACTGTCACAGCCATTAATATCTGCACACAGATTATGACTGGCCAAGTGTCCAAATACACTGGTGCTCTATGAGATTAGCCAGATAATATTTACATGATCAACTTCATAGTGAAAAGACTGTTTCACTAGAACCCATGCTTGTTCTTTGGAGAGACTGTTCGGATTAGGGGCCGTGGGGTAGCCCAGTGGTTAAGGCGTTTGCTCGTCACGCCGAAGACCCGGGTTCGATTCGCAAACAGGGTACAATGTGTGAAGCCCAATTTTGGTGTCCCCCCGCCGTGATATAGCTGGAATATTGTTAAATGCGGTGTAAAACTGAACTAACTCACTCACTCACTCACTGTTTGGATTGTATAATCATGCCTGCTGATTTGGTTGACATATGTCATTGTATCCCAGTTGCATATGTCATGATGCCAATCACAGGATTTTTTGGCCCTGATTTCTCTATTTACAAACTGCCATCATAGAGCTGGAGTATTGCTGAGTGCAGCATTAAACAAAACAAACAAAAATTCAAATAGTTGTCAGATCCATCTGTTGTGGTATACTGCTAGACATGTTGGCAAGTTAGTGTACATAAGACAATACATTTAATCATGTGCATCCATGACTATGTATCATCAGTATGTGATTATTTATTCATTTCCACACCCTTTACATGTAATACTTTCAATAACTGCAGATGTCTGTTTGGTGTTGGGTCTAGCTGGAGAAAGCATGTGTGCTGGTTATCACATTATGAAGTTTAGAATCCTGTAACTCAAACATCATTGTTTGAATTAGATACTTGCCATGCTATTGTTTCAAGTAATAAGGATGCATTTAAGATTGGTGTATGGTATATCTTGAAAAGGTTTTTGATTTGAAACAAATCAAAGGTGTCAAGTTTATGGCTTGATGATGAATATAAGAATCAAAATTCTTGCTGGTAAGCTTGTTCAGATATGAAATAGTATCTAAATGTGTTCCATTTCCCAGTGATCAGCAAATTTAGTAGCTGTCAGCTTGATTCTGGACATTCATACTCTTCACTGATTTTGACCATTTTCGAAGTCTCATGAAATACTGTATACATATTTTCTTACCTTAATAATCAATTTGATAGAATGTATTTGTAAAGCAGTTTGTATGTGATTAAGTACCTTGATGTCATGTGTAAGTCTTTAGTCTAGTGTTGTGCTGGTCATTCACTCTTCCATAACTTGTTCATGTTCTTTTGAATTTATCTGACATATCAGTGTTGTAAAAATGTACATATCTTGTAAATTCTTTCATTGTAGTAAAAAGAATATCAATATAAGGATGAGTATTGTTGTTACATTCATTTCATATCTCTTTTTGCATCATCCAGTAGCACTTTATTCATTGAGATGAGAGAGCATATGGACACAGTGTACTGTCCAGAAAAGTAGAGATTCTCCACCACAATTACACATCACATGAAGACAAAGACATATAGCAGTGGTGGTATTGGATGGCTGTGAAAGAAGTGACTAGGAGTGACAGTCAACAGAACAGGTTGGGGTGTATTGTAAGGATGCAAATAATTAACTCTAAAAGAATTGTGCTCACAGAGTGGCATGGTTCGAATCAATTTCCTAATGACTGTTTTGTTCTCTGCTAGATAAAATATATGGTCCTGATGACATAAAAGCATTTAAAAGTTGTTAGTTGTTTTGAAAATAGGAAATATGTAATGAGCAAATCTTTGAAGGGCATTTAGAAGTGGAATGCATGAAAACTGCAAGATTTATGGATGTCAGCTTCTTTATTGTTAATAACATTTCGGGAATGTATGCTTGCTCCTTCATCAGGTGATCTCATTGATCTCGTTATAAAGTGCTTTCAGGGTCTTGTTGTTTTCTGGTGATGTTTTCTGACTGAAGGTATTGAGTTGTGATTCTTGCAGGTGGGCACAGTGTGGACCACTATCACAAACTAATGGAACAACTATCCATGCCAGTAGGACTTTCCAGAAAGTGCAGGGTGAATCTGGACTCATCTGAAAACATTTACCCCAGTAAATCAACATTCCTCCTATTTTGTATCTCTAATCATCTTTAGCATCTATTTAGAATGTGTCGATTTGTTCATGGTGGAGCCTGCAGACTGTTCTTGATGGTCTTGATACTAACCTGAACTTGGGGAAGTGACAAGAAATTTGATTAGCTGTTTAGGTTGGATATCTTTAAGCCAGGCTTCTAATTGCTGAATTGTGGACTTGTGTTGTCGATCCTAGGTGTCATGTGACCGATCAGTAACACATTTGTGTCAGCATAAGCCTGTTCCAAAGTTTCAAAGACTCCTCCGTTTTTAAAACATTGCCGCATGACGATAGTGGTATTAGGGTGCCGTGTTATAACGTTCAAGGATGGCTCTCCTTGTTGCCCTGCTGGCGTTGATAATACAAGGACTGACCGGCTGGTAAGTATTATGTGTCCGAGGAGGGTAGCTTCCACGTCCTTTTTCAGTGTATAAAACAGTCATTAGTCCTACCTTGCACAAGCAGAAACACCCACATTGGCATCGTTTAAAACAAACATCAAACTCCAATCACCTCCTCTCATCTTAACCTGTGTAACAAGTGATGCTTCTCATATTTACGAGACGGACGGACGTTTTCTGATCAGAAAATATACTTCTCAAAGTTTAAGGAAAACCAAGTTCTATGGATAGTCAACTTCTTTATTGCAAAGAGTGCGAAGTTTTGGGTGTAGTACTAGTAACACCGTTATCAAGCAAGTAACGGTGTTAGTACCTACAAGGAAACGTCGCACTAACAAAGAAGTTGACTATCCATAGAACTTGGTTTTCCTTCATCTATATAACTTCTAAAATGCCTCTCAAAGAAGTTCTCAAAGTTTACTAAAGATAAGTACTTCAAATGGTAAAGACGCGATGCCAACCAACAAATTGTGCCAACTGTTCAGTCTGCGGACGTTCAAAACGAGAGTATCTGACCAAAGTAACCCAGGTTACACCTTTCCTATGCACCTGGCTAATTCTCCAATCTTTCAAAACATGTCTTTGACCCTGAGGGGTCATAAATGCATTCAGTTATTTTCATGAAAATGATGTGCCAGGGTTCTGTCACGATACATCCAGACATGGTCCGGCGGTAATATTGAGAGGGCCGAGATATTTCAATCTCCCTGTGACGGATGTTTTTTTTATATGCTAAAAAACTTGATCCTCAGCAAACTTTGAACAGTATATGTAACACTGGTCAGAAAATAGTTAGGCCTAAATTCACCGAAGATCTGCGTTCCACCTAAAGTCAACAAATCTGAGCAGGTCAACGCGCCAGTTGCCTAACCTGATAAAAGCTACGGAAGTGCGATTTCAGTGATGTATGGAGAGTTTAAAATCCATGCTTTCAGAGGTGAACAGCCTTGATTGCACGTCAAATACTTGTTTGGCGTGGAAGACTTGGGCAAATCTTTCAGTATTGGTGAACAGGTTTAAAAGAAGAGATGTTTGAGAACCATGTTAAAACAAGCATGGTCCTTCATGTGAGCTAAAACTCACGTTTTCAGGAAATGTATGTCTGCATGTACATATACTCGTGTTACATTGAACCAATAGGAACCGAGACATTTGGTAACAAAGAATAACATACCAATTGCAATTAAAGATGGGACTGACGTCTTTATAGATCCATTCAACAAACACTTATTCAGATTGTGGTAGTGTGATTTTATAGAAGAAGAGAAGACTCAAATTATCACAAAACTATAGGGAAAAGCTAAAACAAACTAATTGTGTTTAACGTGTCATGAAAAGTATGTTTTGGGACAAATCTAGCGGTTTAGCACAGCCTTGCGTTCGCTTTTCTATTGAGGTACGGGTTAGAATATTAATCTTCAGTAAGCCACGCTTGTCGTAAGAGGCGACTAACGGGATCGGGTGGGCAGGCTCGCTGACTTGGTTGACACATGTCATAGGTTCCCAGTTGCGCAGATCGATGCTCATGCTGTTGATCACTGGATTGTAATTATTGCTGAGTGCGGTGTAAAACTCAACTCACTCACTCACTTCTGTTGAGGCGAGCCACTGCCCCCTGTGACTGACTCTGGGAATTTAGGTAAGTGTCGATACGATCCATATTGCAAGTACCTGTGATCACATCAGGTCTTCCAGAATACCTTTGAGGAGCATATGTTGCCCTACCATCGATGACACCTCTACAAACACACGCACGGGCAAGTCATCTATTCACCTAAAACTATGTACACATCAAAACTTAGAACTGGTTCTGTGAATAATCTATTTTCCTCCTCTACAAATAAATAACATTTACCTCTGTCAACAAACTGTTCAACAGGGCTGTATTTCTTTCCACACGTAGAAATCAAATCAAAGAATTATATATCGTATCAGGTGAGCTAACAAATGTGATGCATCAAACCTATACCAGATTAGGTATTGAAGTAAACTGTACTATAGTACAGTATAGTAGCTATGACGTCTTTGTACAATAAGCCTACACCAAGAACTCCGACAGGGTGCATGTGGTTTTAGGCCGCATTTCAGATGTGTGCTTGAGAGCACGAACAACGACCCCTTCCATCAAGATATGATAACACTCGGTATTCAAAAACCCTTGTTTGGAAAAGGCGGCTAACAGGAAAGGATGCATATAGTCGTTTCCCAACTGCGTAGATCGATGTCAATCGCTGGATTGTCTGGTCCAAGTTGGGGCGGTGGGGTAGTCTAGTGGTTAAAGCGTTCGCTCGTCACGCCGAAGACCCGGATTCGAATCCCCACATGGGTACAATGTGTGAAGCCCATTTCTGGTGTCCCCCGCCCTGATGTTGCGGGAATATTGCTAAAAGCGGCGTAAAACCAAACTCAGTAAGTTCGATTATGTACAAGCCGCCTTCATAAATGTGGGGCAATGATGGGTGCGGCGTTAAACAACATCATAACATCAAGACTTGTCCCGGGACGCCCGTGGGCTGTCTTTTAGAGTAAGTCTCTGGTAGTGAAGATACAACTGATATACTGTTAGCAAAACAAATCTTAGTGAGTAGAACGCATGTGCAAGAGACCTCATATGTATGGTGGCTGATTAGGGCCATCGCTTTCTCGCCTTAAAATTCGGAGGCGAGAAAGCGAGAAAGCCATAACGCGAGATGAGAAAGCGATAGCACGAGACGAGAAAGCGATAACACGAGAACGAGAAAGCGATAACGCGAGACGAGAAAGCGATAGCACGAGACGAGAAAGCGATAACGCGAGAACGAGAAAGCGATAACGCGAGACGAGAAAGCGATAACGCGAGACGAGTAAGCGATGACCCTAATCAGCCACCTTACATATGACCTCTTAAGCGTGATATGAATAACAACAATGTTGATAACCCATTGTAATATTTATTTTGGTATAACGTACAAAATGTGACTTGTCACGTTATTCTGGATTGATGTAAAAATGATTATTGATCATGATGGTTATATTAGAAATCGATATAAGAGATTTGTACAAACATTGATATAGAAACACCAGTAAAATGCAACATATGTTATATTTGGGATTACACTTTCTTAGTAGCACCAGTAAAAGTGTGGCGTTTAAATGAATGTTACTAAATGACATGATTGAGTTTGTTAAAAATGGCATCAAGTGGTATATACACATTTAATGGAATAATGCCTTGGTGTCCCGTTGAAATACCTCAGCACAAACTTTCGTGGTTCGCAACCGCACTGGACGGAACGTGGGCTGAGGCGGGTTGGGAACGCACTGCATAATGCAAGGGAGATAACCCCTTATTGTCCTTGAGATTGACATCCGCGTTGTTAGACATGAGTATTTTACAGACCCCTCCGTTACCTGCTTCGGCTGCGTAATGCAGAGGTGTTGAGCTGTCGCCTTCAGCAGCGTTCACACACGCCCCGAGGCCCAGTAGCTTCCTCGTCAAATCCACTTGTCCCGTTATCGCCGCCCAGTGTAATGGAGTGCGGCCCGTTTCATCTCGAGTCTCAACATTAACTCCATAGTCTGTCAAAAGCTTCATTGCCAGGTTACCGTGACCGGACGATACAGCAAGGTGGATGGGTTTTCTCTGCCAGACCCCGTCCAACAAATCAGGGGTATGTGGGTCGAATCCTTCGCTCACAAGAAGATCAAATATTTCTTCGTCCCCACCCACAGCAGCAAGAGAAACAGGGTTGCGCACATTTGTAAACAACTGAAGTTTCGTCCTGTCTCGATGGTTACCAGGCTCGAACCACTGTTTGACAGCTCCCACATCTCGATCTTCTATACAATGGTTGAGGTAGATCCAGTCTTCTTCCTCCCTCTGAGACGCATTCATCCTGACAGAGTATTATGCCTGATTTTGTGACTGCACACAACGAGGCCCGCCTTTGAGCCAGCTAGGTTGAGATCGATACCTTCACAGTCATGGAATACAGCGCGACATAACCCACCAGGTCGCTGTCGATGATACATACATCCACGACGAAATGAAAAGACTGATACAAGCCACGTATCAAAGGAATGTTAGTTCAGTTCATACACTGACAACTACATATTACTGTTTGCGCTGCACAAGAGAGTCAATAAAGCATGTCGTCAAGAATGACAACGCACACACATCCAGCACAACCCGCTCGCGTTTCATTGTCCCAGTGACTTGCCTTCAATTTTTAACTACGTACAAGCCATTAAAACGCACGAGAGAAGTTATTTCAGTAAAGTTGAACAGTAATATATGTCCGGGTCCGTTATGCGATCCTGACTCGTACGTTGATAATTTGGTGGGTCACGCTACAAGGTACAGTCTCACCCACACCAGATGGACGGAAAGATTACCTGTGGCGAATGTTGTTAACAGTGTAGATAGCGTCCGTCCGACTGTGTACACTCAGGTCAGCAATACTCGCATTTCGTGGGAAAAAGCTCTTTTTTGTTTGTTGTAAGATTTAGTCGGTGTATGTCGGCAGAAACGATGCATGACTCGCTGCTCGCTAACACGTCCGGATCAGTGATCTTGTATGAGGACGTCGCCGAAGGGGGAAAAGTTGAATATTAATGTCAGACAAACGCTTATATGTTTGCATAAGCTTGTATACAATATAAGAACGAGGTCATAGAGTTTGCCTTTGTGAATTAAAGAATTTAATACTATTCAGGCTGGAATGTGTGTGCAGGTAAGAGGTGATTGTGACAAACAATTGAATGAGGTAGAATATCTGGTATGTAGTTTCAAAAGTTCACCTGCTCAACTTGAGGTAATATAGTATTTTCTCTCTGACGTCGCGCTGATGTTGGTATGCAGTGTATTTACAATGTGTGCGTGCGTGCGATATAGGAATGCATTGTTTTAATTTCATTTGCTAAACAGTTTGAATCAAATTGTCAATAGTTCCGGATCCAGTGTGTTTGCCAAGCTGTATACCTACTTTATATAAGTTTTAGCTCCACGGTGTGCTACTCTAACATGCAGCTGCCTTGTAAGTCGTCATGTCACTGGTATGTACAGTTCAGATGTAAAGGCCTATGGTTATTCAGCTATAGTCTATGTAACATGATCGGCCTACGGTAGCCAGGAACCTGCTGACCGTGTAAGTGGACTGTATGAAGATTGAACGAGCGCTTCTACTGATTTAGCATTGGGGACATGGACAATCAGCCTTTCTCACTTTACTCTTAGTGCCCCTCGGATACAATTAGTGGAGAGAGAGAGAGAGAGAGAGAGAGAGAGAGAGAGAGATATAACCGCCTCCCTGGTGAGAGAGAGAGAGAGAGAGAGAGAGAGAGAGAGAGAGAGAGAGAGAGAGAGAGAGAGAGAGAGAGAGAGAGAGAGAGAGGGAGGGAGAGGGAGCATGGTATCCTCAGAGAGAGAGAGAGAGGGAGGAGAGAGAGAGGAGAGAGACCCGCGAGAGATTTCACCTCCACATGAAGACACGGGTCTGATTCCCCACATGGGCACTATGTGAGAAGTCCATTTCTGGTGTCCCCCGCCGTGATATTGCTGAAATATTACCAAAAGCGGCGTAAAACCAAACTCACTCACTCCAATGTGATCTTGCTGGAATATTGCTTAAAGCGGCGTAAAACCATACTCATTCTCTTTAGCGGATACTGACATTGCATCCCAGATGTCTGTTAGTGATGAAATTGTGTCTTACGCAGTTTTTGACAATATTTGAGGTTATAGATTGGCGCTTCAGTTCAATGTTGAATGGGAGTCCAATGTCAAGCGGGTTGTTTGTTCAGTGCCGCAAACATCAAATGTCCCTCTTTATGACATCGGTCTGCAAATAATTGCCTGGACCAGACAGTGTGGTGATTGAAATTATTCACCAATAACCATAATAAGAGCAATCACGGTGTCGGACCCCGCGGATTCTCCTTCGACGAAGGGGCGCAACTCTGCGTAGCTTCTGTTTGGCTTCCGACAAGGGTGTCACTGTGTCATCCGTGTCCGTGACCCACAGACATAACTACAGCTTTCCTTGACAGATCGGAATCAGAAATATGCAGTCATGAAATCAATAATAACAGTTTCAGTATAACCCCATGGGTAATGATTATCGTGGACGCTGACAGTGTGATCATTACCGATATTCCATCTCAACTTCATCTTCATCAAGCTCTCTGCTTACCGACTGCTTGTGTTCGAAACTGTTCGTGTTCTCCAATTGTATCACGGATGGTATCTTTGATACATTATACATGACAGGTTGACAATAAAATATGATTGCAGAATCCCACAAGGAAACCCTTATAAAAATAGCGTACAAGTTACCATTGTAACCTAAACTGGAAGAAAAGCAGTTGAGTACATAGAGTTGTACAATTAATCCATTCTATATACATTTTATTCTTCTTTTTTTTATCGCCAGCCGTATGCGCCGTAATCCGCTATGCGAGGTCGGAGCCTTCATTTCAGGTGCTAAAAACGCTATGATTGTGGGTTCGAATCCCGGTTCGACTTCACTGTTTCTAATTTTGTGTCAACCCGCGTGCACCTGGGTCCCACCAACGTATTAAACGTGTAAGACCCACTTCAGGCTTCTCTCTCCCCCATGATGCTGCGTGCTTTTTCAGCTAAAGTATAATAATTGTACATTCTGAAATATAAAAATGACAAATTCACCAAATGCCCAGCAAAGCATTCTGAAATTTCAAAATTTATCTTGAAAATTAAAATTCATAACGTCATACTGTATTCATATATTTCAAAATGTCCCTTGTAGGTTCCACTACAAAAGAGAGCATACATTGCCTCCGTGTGGGTGACTGTGTGTCGACGCTGACAAACATCTACGTCGATTCGTACACTTAATGTCGTCCACCCTCGCTAGTTTCTTGAAATTGCCTCACCATTCAAACAACACAATCAAAATACGATTCTTTTCACATACGTCCAAATACAAGTCGCCACGGGTGTCCGATTGGAAATCCGTATCCCAATCCGTTAATGATCAAGTGGTGATTTTCGTACTGCCTTAACAGGGCCGAACCGATGTGTCTGTTCGGGTAAATCGGACCGTGCCGCGGACTAAGTAATTGCGTGTGGTAAGCTATGGGCAATTATAGCTGGGTGTAATTGGTTGGAGACTGGCAGTCCTAGGGCAAGGTAACCATTGTCAGACTCGCAACCATTCAGCTGCCACTGAACACGTCAGATCTGATGTCTAGTTTTGATCAAGTTTTCTGGAGAAAAAGGCAGCAACAGTGAGATAAAAGACCTTTGCTGATTTACTGTAACTTCGGTTTATAAAAATCTGATATAACCCGGGGAGGTGGGTGGTGGGTAGGGTGGTGGGTGGTGGGTAGGGTGGTGCAGGGATATGTGAGTGCACCGATGTGTGAGAGAGTGTAGGGATGTGTGTGTGTGTAAGTGCAGGGATGTGTTTGTAAGGATGTGTGTATGTGTGAGAGCACTGATGTATGAGAGAGTGTAGGAATGTGCGTGTGTGTGTGTGTGTGTGTGTAAGTGCTGGTATGTGTTTGTAAGGATGTGTGTATATGTGAGAGCACTTATGTGTGAGAGAGTGTAGGAATGTGTGTGTGTGTAAGTGCTGGTATGTGTTTGTAAGGAGATGTGTGTATGTGTGAGTGCACTTATGCGTGAGAGAGTGTAGGGTTGTGTGTGTGTAAGTAGAGGGATGTGTATGTGTAAGGAAGTGTGTCTGTGCAAGTTCATTGATGTGTGGGTTTTTAGGTGTGTATGTGTGGTGGGGGTTGGGGGAAGGGTAGGGTGTGTGTGTGATGAGTGTGCAGGGAAGTGTTTGTGTGAGTGTTTGAATGTGAGAGGTGTGGGCCTCTTAGTGTGAGTGTTGTGAGTGATGTTTGAGGGTTATTTAGGGTGTGTGAGTGTGATTGTTGTGAGGTGCTGGGTGCTGGGAGTGACCAATGAGTGGTGTGTGATGTGTGGTGTGGGGGAAGTGAGTGATGTTTGAGGGTTATTTAGGGTGTGTGAGTGTGATTGTTGTGAGGTGCTGGGTGCTGGGAGTGACCAGTGAGTGGTGTGTGGTGTGGGGGAAGTGAGTGATGTTTGAGGGTTATTTAGGGTGTGTGAGTGTGATTGTTGTGAGGTGCTGGGTGCTGGGAGTGACCAGTGAGTGGTGTGTGATGTGTGGTGTGGGGGAAGTGAGTGATGTTTGAGGGTTATTTAGGGTGTGTGAGTGTGATTGTTGTGAGGTGCTGGGTGCTGGGAGTGACCAGTGAGTGTGGTGTGTGGTGTGGGGAAGTGAGTGATGTTTGAGGGTTATTTAGGGTGTGTGAGTGTGATTGTTGTGAGGTGCTGGGTGCTGGGAGTGACCAGTGAGTGGTGTGTGGTGTGGGGGAAGTGAGTGATGTTTGAGGGTTATTTAGGGTGTGTGAGTGTGATTGTTGTGAGGTGCTGGGTGCTGGGAGTGACCAGTGAGTGGTGTGTGGTGTGGGGGAAGTGAGTGATGTTTGAGGGTTATTTAGGGTGTGTGAGTGTGATTGTTGTGAGGTGCTGGGTGCTGGGAGTGACCAGTGAGTGGTGTGTGGTGTGGGGGAAGTGAGTGATGTTTGAGGGTTATTTAGGGTGTGTGAGTGTGATTGTTGTGAGGTGCTGGGTGCTGGGAGTGACCAGTGAGTGGTGTGATGTGTGGTGTGGGGAAGTGAGTGATGTTTGAGGGTTATTTAGGGTGTGTGAGTGTGATTGTTGTGAGGTGCTGGGTGCTGGGAGTGACCAGTGAGTGGTGTGTGGTGTGGGGGAAGTGAGGGGTGTTTGAGGGTTATTTAGGGTGTGTGAGTGTGATTGTTGTGAGGTGCTGGGTGCTGGGAGTGACCAGTGAGTGGTGTGGGGGAAGTGAGTGATGTTTGAGGGTTATTTAGGATGTGTGAGTGTGATTGTTGTGAGGTGCTGGGTGCTGGGAGTGACCAGTGAGTGGTGTGTGGTGTGGGGGAAGTGAGTGATGTTTGAGGGTTATTTAGGGTGTGTGAGTGTGATTGTTGTGAGGTGCTGGGTGCTGGGAGTGACCAGTGAGTGGTGTGTGGTGTGGGGGAAGTGAGGGGTGTTTGATGGAGGCCGGCAGGCGTTGAGCCGGAAGGGGCTTTGACACTGGCCGCAGATTCTTCAAGCGTCACTAGCCGCTATGTTCCGTTGCAATATGAAAATTGGTCTGTTTCGTAAAACCTGGTCTTGAAAGCAACTAACACAACGACAGATGCAGCTGCAAGTACTGTCATATAGCAAAGTCTCCGCAGGCAGCAACATGGACAACATCCCACAACATCCACAAAGAAACACTGCACGACAA